GACCCCATGGAGGTGAGGGGTCCGACCCCATGGAGGTGAGGGGTCCGACCCCATGGAGAGTCTGACCCCATAGAGGTGAGGGGTCCGACCCCATGGAGGTGAGGGTCCGACCCCATAGAGGTGAGGGGTCCGACCCCATGGAGGTGAGGGTCCGACCCCATGGAGGTGAGGGTCCGACCCCATGGAGAGTCCTACCCCATAGAGGTGAGGGGTCTGACCCCATGGAGGTGAGGGGTCCGACCCCATGGAGGTGAGGGGTCCGACCCCATGGAGAGTCCGACCCCATAGAGGCTGTCTCTTATACACATCTAGATGTGTATAAGAGACAGCCCATAGTAAGTGGGTCAACGTCCCATAGTAAGTGGGTCAACGTCTCATAGTAAGTGGGTCAACGTCCCATAGTAAGTGGGTCAACGTCCCATAGTAAGTGGGTCAACGTCCCATAGTAAGTGGGTCAACGTCCCATAGTAAGTGGGTCAACGTCCCATAGTNGCAACGTCGCAAGATGCTTGGCGGGGGTGATATGGCAACGTGGCGGGAGTGATTTGGCAACGTAGCGGGGGGTTGATGTGGCAACGTCGCAAGATTCTGTAGTCTGGCGGAGGTGATGTGGCAAGGTGGTGAGGGTGATGTGGCAACGTGCATGAGTGATGGGGCAACGTGGCGAAGGAGATGGGGCTGCGTGGCGCTGGTGATGTGGCATTACAGAGGTACAAAATGTGTCATGCCAGATGTACGAGATGTGACATGCCAGAGGTACGAGATATGACATGCCAGAGGTACGAGATGTGACATGCCAGATGTACGAGATGTGACATGCCAGAGGTACGAGAGGTGGCACCCCGCATTCCGATTTTTATCATTAACAGACGTTAAAATTTAGATAATGTGCGACATTAAACAAAATGTGGCAACATTTTCGAGCGAAATTTGGCGACTCTATCGACATTTGGCACTTGCGCAGGGGGTGGGGGGAGAGGTCAAGTTGGGGTACGGGGGTGTGGTGTGGGGGTTAGGCTATTTTGAGGTTAGGCTTGTTGTTGCTGCTGCTGCGGTTGCCGAAGAAAGTTATTCCATGATCGGTTAATATGAAATTACGTGAAAAACGATAAAATACAAAAATATTGTGGGAACCGAAATCTTTACCCTGAATACCCAGGATACCCTAGGAATACCCTAGGATACCCAGGATACCCTGATTACCCCGGGATACCCCAGATACCCCAGGATACCCAGGATACCCTGAATACCCCGGTATACCCCGGATACCCTAGGATACTCAGGATACCCTGAATACCCCGGATACCCTGAATACCCTAGGATACCCTGGATACTCAGGATACCCTAGGGATACCCTAGGATACCCTGAATACCTAGAATTAGTTAGGCAGCGCCGTTCACTATACATATCGTCTTGCCTGAACCTTACGTGTATGTAGCTTGCCTGTTCCTGCCTTGATTTGTCACACAAAATATTATTCTATTCTCTCAATTATTAATTAATAGCATTAATCAATTAATTATCACAAATTATTCATAATTAAGCCACTTCTTTTTCGGTATTTCACTATTTTACGATACAAAAATACGATTTTTTATAATATTAAATAATATCAAAATTCTTGCCTTCGAAAATAAATATTATTGCATTAATAAATCTATGATAATGTGAAAATAATTGAATATTATACATTATTTGTAATTTTAAAATGTGTTAAGAAATGTTACGATAAATTCGGTTCCCGTAGCACCGCTGCTTCACGTTTCATCTATAAGGTTAAAATGTTAATATTAAGAGTGAACCGGTCCAGTGGTTCACATGAGCCGGAGACTTGATTGTGGACCGGTCCGGTGGTTCACACGTGTCGGAAACTTGACTGGGGACCGGTCCAGTGGTTCACACGTGCCCAGAGACTTGATAGTGGACCGGTCCGGTGGTTCACACGTGTCGGAGACTTGACTGTGGACCGGTCCAGTGGTCCAGACGTGCCGGAGACTTGACTGTGGACCGGTCCAGTGGTCCACATGTGTCGGAGACTTGATTGTGGACCGGTCCAGTGGTTCACATGTGTCAGAGACTTGATTGTGGACCGGTCCAGTGGTCCACACGCGTCGGGGACTTGATTGTGGACCGGTCCGGTGGTCCACACGTGTCGGAGACTTGATTCTGGACCGGTCCAGTGGTTCACACGCGTCGGAGACTTGATTGTGGACCGGACCAGTGGTTCACACGTGTCGGGGACTTGATTGTGGACCGGACCAGTGGTTCACACGCGTCGGATACTTAACCGGGAACCGGTCCGGTGGTTCAACTTAACCGTGGACCGCAAAATTGGTTCACACGTGTAGAGAAGAACCGCGAACCTAAATTAACGCTAGGGTTAAAAAAACTATTTTTTNATTGTATATTATTGTATTTATTGTATATATTTTATTGTATATTATATAAAAAGTGTGTCATTTTGACCCACTTCCCCACTCACAGGTCTGGTTTTTGTATTAATAATATAATATTATATAATAAAATTATTGTATATTATTGTATTTGTTTTATATTATTTTATTGTATATTACATGACAAGTGTGTCATTTTGACCCACTTCAGGTCTGGGGAGGGGGCTGGGGAGGTGACCCAGTGCACGGTGGGGGTTTATCCCCCCCTCAACCCCGACCATGAGACCCTCCTCCTCCCCGACAACCTCATCCGGGACCTGGGCCTGACCTCGGCCGTGTCCCGCCAGGGGACCACCATCACCGGGCCCAACACCGCCCAGCGCTACACGGTGAGTGGGTCAACACGAGTGGTAAGTGGGTCAACGGAAGTGGTAAGTGGGTCAACGGAAGTGGGTCAACGTCCCGTAGTAAGTGGGTCAACGTCCCATAGTAAGTGGGTCCACGTCTCGTAGTAAGTGGATCAACGTCCCATAGTAAGTGGGTCAACGTCCCATAGTAAGTGGGTCAACGTCCCATAGTAAGTGGGTCAACGTCCCATAGTAAGTGACTGCGTGGCGCTGGTGATGTGGCATTACAGAGGTACAAGATGCGTCATGCCAGAGGTACGAGATGTGACATGCCAGAGGTACGAGATGTGACATGCCAGAGGTACGAGATGTGACATGCCAGAGGTACGAGATGTGTCTAATTGGGTGTGGGGGTGTGGTGTGGGGGTTAGTCTATTTTGAGGTTAGGCTTGTTGCTGCTGCATCGGTTGCCGAAAAAAAGTTATCCCATGATCGGTGAATAGGAAATAGGAAATTACGTGAAAAATGATAAAATACAAAAATATTGTGGGAACCGGAATCTTTACCCAGGATACCCTGAATACCCAGGATACCCTGGGATACCCTAGGATACCCTGAATACCCAGGATACCCTAGGATACCCTGAAATCCTAGAATTAGTTAGGCAGCGCCGTTCACTATACATATCGTCTTGCCTGAACCTTACGTGTATGTAGCTTGCCTGTTCCTGCCTTGATTTGTCACACAAAATATTATTCTATTCTCTCAATTATTAATTAATAGCATTAATCAATTAATTATCACAAATTATTCATAATTAAGCCACTTCTTTTTCGGTATTTCACCATTTTACGATATAAAAATACGATTTTTATAATATATAATATCAAAATTCTGGCCTTCGAAAATAAATATTATTCCATTAAAAAATCTATGATAATGTGAAAATATTTACTTATTAAACATTATTTATAATTTTAAAATGTGTTAAGAAATGTTACGATAAATTCGGTTCCCGTAGCACCTGTCTCTTANACCCACTTTATACCCCCCGGCGTATCAGTGCTACGCGCTGTCGTATATTTGGACAAAAAGATGCACTAGTTTCTCTGGGTGCCGCTTGCTTATATAGATGCACGAGTTACATTTTTTATTATTAATTATTTTTTAATATAAATTAATAATAATTGTAAATTCACTGCCTAATTTTACAAATTTTGTTAAATTTTTAGTTAAATCTGCGAAATTTGGTGAAAAATCGGACGGACTTTTCGAACTGACGAACTTTTTCGAAAAAAATTTTCAAATCAAGTTTTTGATTTACATTAAAAAAATTGAAATTACATTTTTGATTTATTTGAAATTTCTAAATTAAATTAAGTTTTTAATTTAAATTAAAAATTTTTTAATTTAAAAATAAACATTTTTTAATTTTAATTGAAAATTTTTTAATTTTAACGAACTACTTAAGGTTTACAGCAACTCCCGCTAATGTGTAACTCATTAGAGCAGAGCAGTTTATATGTACGAGCTTTAAGTAGAGCAGCTACTTTACTACTTAAGTAGAGTCCCTAGATGTCCTCTCTAGATTTACTAGACTTGAATGTTTGGGAATTTTTACTAGTGAATTTCTTTTTTTAAGAACTCATTTTTATGGAATTTTTCTCGAAAAATTCGTGGTTATTTCGAATTTTTAGTATATAAAAGTAAAATTCATTTCATTTTTCTCTCGAGTTTTTGTAATTGATCAAAATTCAATTTTTTTAGTTAAAAAAATTAACTTTTTTGCACTTATCAAAATTCAATTTTTTTAATTTTCGAAAAAATTCAAATTTTTTATAACGGGAAAAATCAAATGAAAAAATCTTAACAGTCAACAATTTTTATGCTGATCTGCACACACAGACAAACAAGTGGGGCACTTTGTCCAAATATCAAAGCACTTTTTGCGTCAAAATGGGTCATTTTGACCCAGTTTGGCCCGGCAAAAGCACGCATATATTTGCTATATGCGGAAAATGTGTCAATATTTGGTCAAAATTACCCATTTGTTTTTCTAAGTGTAGGCCGTATATATACGTACTGCTGGTCCATATAGATAACTAGGGATGGTATATAATATCCTATATAATATACGTGAATAATATACTGGAATACGTTGAAAAAAATATATGTGAATTTATATCATTTTTAATCAGCTGAGTCATCAGCTGATTCATCAACTGAGTCATCAGCTGAGCTTTCAGCTGAATCATCAGCTGAATCATCAGCTGAATCATCAGCTGATTCATCAGCTGAGCTTTCAGCTGAATCATCAGCTGATTCATCAGCTGATTCATCAGCTGAATCATCAGCTGAATCATCAGCTGATTCATCAGCTGAGTCATCAGCTGAATCATCAACTGAGTCATCAGCTGATTCATCAGCTGAGCTTTCAGCTGAATCATCAGCTGATTCATCAGCTGAATCATCAGCTGAATCATCAGCTGATTCATCAGCTGAATCATCAGCTTGAGCCTTCAGCTGATTCTTCAGCTGANCAGCGTACCATGAATAGATTAGCTTTAGTTCCACCACACATGTATTAAATTTATGTTCTGTATCGTGAATGGAACGGTAAATGTTTAGATTCAAACTTTGTATTGAAACAAAACGTGTTTAAATCTCATGGTTCTGGGAAACATTTTGTGTGATTTGTATTGAAATTTAAACACATACTACGATCTTTGTGCTACATTTGTGTAATATACAAAATAAATTCATATTTAGTATCGCCCGCAATTCAAAATGATTGTTTGGGCAACCGCATGCAAGCGGCAAAAATTTCCTCGCTTCTGATTGGCTCGTCACGCGGGCGTTGTCTCGGTCCTCGTTTCTGATTGGCTCGTTTCGCGGGCGTTGTCTCGGTCCTGGTTTCTGATTGGCTCGTCACGCGGGCGTTGTCTCGGTCCTCGCTTCTGATTGGCTATTTAATCCTACGTTATTTTCGGTCTCATAAATAATCACCCTCACAAGTTGATGCTTCATTGTCCTTTACCTACAATAAGAGGAGCAGTGATTTCCGGGTTCGAGCCCAAGTTAGCCGTGAATGTTTCAGGTCTACTTCGGCTTAGTGGTTGGGAACAGCAATATATGCGCACTGAGTTGAAGGTTAGAGACCCAGTTAGCTGTAAAATACTATGATGTCTTAGAGTTGGCAGCAAGCGTATCACGTAGCTAAACCTCAATATCGCTGCAAATTCGATATCAAAATTATACAATATAGAAATGTAGAAGCGTGCTACTTCTTGGAACGAGTTGCTCAAGTTGAAACGTAAGTTTGAATTGCTGTACAGAATTTTCTGGAACTAATTAGTTGTATGTATCATATGAAAGGAACGCGAAGATGAAACCCACAGTGCAGTGTGGCCTGGCGCTGCTACGTCCGAAACATATCGATGTTAATTAGAATCATACTGAACTTTCCAGTCAAATAATGAAATTTCCAGTCAACTACCAAACTTTTCAGATAAATTCTGAACTTTTCAGTCAACTAGTGAACTTTCCAATTAAATATCGAACTTATCAAATACTGAACTTTCCAAACAAATACTATCAAAGTTTTCAGTCAAATACTGAACTTTCCATTAAAATACTGAACTAGTCAGTCGAATACTTAACCTTCCAGTCAACCACTGAACTTTTCAGTCATATAATGAACTTTCTCAGATAAATACCGAACTTTCCAATCAAATACAGTAAATTTTCCAGTCAACTACTGAACCAGTTATATACTTAGCATAGTTATAAATAAAACGCCGGGGTTGAATTACTGGAATAATTTATTTATACAGACACAGGAGGATAATATACAGCACCGCTAACCGCACACAAGATAATGTGTAAAAAATTAAATGTCCTTTTGTCGAGCAAAAATTAAAGGAAGCGAGTAGAAGTCCAAGGAGCAGAACTAAGGAGAGAGTTAAGGAGAAGGTAACTGATGAGGCAATAACCCTTGGTAATTGTTGGGAGTCATTAAAGGTACAGTGGACACTAAATAAGGGCATTAAGGGCTAGTGTGAACCCTTTAGGTCGTCTCATTAGCGAGTCCACACGAACCCATTAGGTCGTCTCATTAGAGACTTCGTACGAACCCATTAGGTCGTCTCATTAGAGACTTCGTACGAACCCATTAGGTCGTCTCATTAGTGACTCCACATGAACCCATTAGGTCGTCTCATTAGAGACTTCGTATAGGAACTCATTAGGTCGTCTCATTAGAGACTTCGTACGAACCCATTAGGTCGTCTCATTAACCTCTGTATGAACCCCTTAACCCCTAAAGGGGCTAAGGAGAATCTCACCAACCAATTACTGAACAAAGGCTTACGTTTTGAATGGAAAACTGTCACTGAACAATACAATAATAAAATTTCATTTTATGAGACCGAGAATTAAAGAAAAATTTGCAGTTTCAACAGAAATTTTGAGTAGCAATGCTTCCAAAAACCAACAAAACCTTAAAAAACATCTTTTTCGCAATGGCTCCATCCCAAACATTATTTGTAGATGCAACACTTCACTAAACTTAGGATAGATTCAGAGCAAAAAAATTTAGATTTAGAAATTTTGCATTTCAAATTTTTCATTCAGCTACGAAAATTCGCTAGTGAAGAATGGCGAAAAACTATAAATTTGTCGCTGCTGTAGGGAAAGTAAAAGGAAGAGAATGAAGAGGAAGAGAAAGGAAGAATAGGAGGAGAAGGAAGTAATTTAATGAATAAACAAATTTATATTTATTTATTCCACAAAATTTACACCAGAGATAAATAAATTTATCAATAAATAAATAAATAAATATCGATAAATAAATATATCGCTGCTGTAGGGGAGTAGGAAGAATAGGAGAAGTAGGAAAAGGAAGAAAAGTAATTTAATGGAAGTACAAGGAAGGGACACACGGCGAAACAAAAGACATGCACACGGCGCTACACCTCATCTAATTATTATACCTAAGAACTACCGATCAAGTAAATGTACATTTACATTTACTAAAACACCTCCAGTAAAATGTACACATTCTCACAAGAGACGCTGCAACAGAGAAAATGTCTCAAGATATTATATTATTATTACTTCTTTAACTACACCGCCAAGAAAACTCAATTAAAAAAAAGTTACGCTTTCCTATAAACTTCAAGATCTCCAAACTGTTTCAATATATTAATAATATTATTATTTCTTTAACTACACCGCCAAAATCCATGAAAAATTAAATTAAATAATAATATTATTCTTTCTTTCCTTAACTACACCGCCAAGAAAAAAACTCAATTTAAAAAAAAGTTACACTACCCAAGAAAATTAAATTTGAAAAAAGCTACACTTTCGTAAAACTCAATAGAAATAAAATAAGGATAGTTTCCTATTTAAATTCCAAGATCTCCAAACTGTTTCAATATATTAATGATATTATTTTCTTTAACTACACCGCCATGAATATTAAATTGAAAAAAAAGGTGCAGTTTCCTATAAAACTTCAAGATCTCCAGAGGAAATTACTAGAGTTTCTAGCAGCACAACTAGATTGACACACATAAAAACAAATGAGACAATATCCATGGAATGTGAGACACTCTTCTCTCTCATGCCACATTATGGCATCCATGCCACATTATGGCCTCTACGTCGCCACATTTTACACCATTTTTAATTTGTGGTTGTCAACTTTTATTACATCATTTTTTTAACGCTTATTTTTACCTCGAATATTCAAAAAATGGCGAAATGTAAAAAAAAATTTTGCTATCTTTCTAAGATCAAAACTTATTTTTTCTCAAAATCTCGAAATGGAAAGACAAGTTTTTTTTAGCTATCTTTCTAATTCACGAAGTTCAATGTTAAAAACAAACTTTTCTTCTCGTATAAATAATAAATTCATCCTGCGACGCGATGACTTAAGCAGGATTTATTAAATAAATCCTTTATCCTTCGCAGGATTTAAATCCTTCTGACAGGCAGGATTATTAGTTAAATCCTTTATCCTTAGCAGTATTTAAATCCTTCTGGCAAAAAGGATTTATTAAATAAATCCTTTATCCTTCTGGCAGGATTTAAATCCTCCAGCGCAGGATTTAAGCGCTCGAGGTCTTCGTGTAGAGGAAGATGGCCACGATCAGACCGTACAGACCCAAGACCTGCAACAATACGACAGGTTAGTCATGCAAACCTTTAATAATTAAATATTAGACCCCAGCATGGAGACACAACACACACTAGACCCCAGCATGGAGACACACAACACAGACAGACTACTTGGAAAGCAACGGCATACTTCTCTGTGCTCTCCAAGAAACAAAACTTACCGCTCGATCGAATCTACAACGATCCGGTAACTACACGCTTATACGACGCGACAGAACGCACAACAACAGCGGAGGCCTCGCCTTCATGATTCATAAAACCGTGACATATCGCGTCGTTGAAGCACCAAAGCCTAAAGGTGCTTGTACATGGGGACAGTACTGGTGGCTAGTAGATCAGAAAATTGCCAAATGTCTGCCGCTTGCTGTCTATCCCGCAAGGAAGCTTAGACACCAAGCGGCAGACATTTGGCAATTTTCTGATCTACTAGCCGCTAGTACTATCCCTGTATACAAGCACCTTAACGCAGCTGACGCGCATCTGGAACAGATGGCTGTTGCCGTCACGTCCGGCAAAACCGAAATCCTGGAACAGATGGCTGTTGCCGTCACGTCCGGCAAAACCGAAATCCTGGAACAGATGGCTGCTGCCGTCACGTCCGACAAAACCGAAATTCTGGAACAGATGGCTGTTGCCGTCACGTCCGGCAAAACCGAAATTCTCATCTACAACATCTATATCCCGCTAACGACCAGTTGTGCCCCCGGCTACGATAAAGCACTTGCTGACGAAAGAAGACGCGCTCGTCCTGGGCGATTTCAACGCGCACCACGAAGCGTGGCACTCGAACCTCGCCAACGATCAGCGTGGTATCTCAATCGCACAGCAAATCGACGACAGCTTCTTCACAATTCTAAACGGACAATCACAAACACGAGTCACTGGAAACAGCACCAGCTCACCCGACGTCAGCCTTGCCAGCCCATCGCTCCTGACCAGTACGGACTGGTCAACTGCCCTCACGCTGGGCTCCGATCACCTGCCGATTCACATTGCAATTGAACGCGCTGCCCAGTTCATCTCATCCGAGCGTCGTACGTTCATCAATTTCAATAGGGCCGACTGGCCAGCAGATTTGACCGAAACAGAAACAGAATTAGACAAAATACAACTACCCATCAATGTGCTCGACGGTGAACAAACCTACCGAAAAATCATTTGCAAAGCGATGGCACACCATATTCCTGCCGGACGCATCCCAAGCTGTCTCTTATACACATCTAGATGTGTATAAGAGACAGTATCAGTTTTGATCGCCAGTATATCCTGTAGTAGATATCAGTTTTGATTGCCAGTATATCCTATAGTAGATATCAGTTTTTATCGCCAGNGAATCGGCCCACACGACGTACAACATTTGTTCAACTGCCCGGCCAAGCCGACACAACTTTCGGCACTCGATCTTTGGACGCAGCCAATCGATGTGGCGCGCTTCATCGGCCTCGGAGCGGACTAGTGGTTGACGTTGCTACAACAACAACAACAACCCCAGCATTCAGACACACAATACACAGACTAGACCCCAGCATGGAGATACAATACAAAGACTAGACCCCAGCATGGAGACACACAACACAGACAGACTAGACCCCAGCATGGAGACACACAACGCAGACAGACTAGACCCCAGCATTCAGACACACAACACAGACAGACCAGACCCCAGAATGCAGTCCACACAGATTAGACCCCAGCACACAGTCCACATATAGACTAGACCCCACTATACAGATCTCAGCGAAGATGAGGATCAGAATCATACACATTACACTACAGACCCTCAGCCTGCAGACCACACACCAGACCCCACTTCAGACCTCAGCAAAGATGAGTATCAGGATCACAGAGACTAGACCCCAGTACACCGTCCCCACACAGACCAGACCCCACCATACAGACCTCAGCAAATATGAGGATCACACAGACCATACCCCAGCACACAGTCCACACACAGACTAGACCTCAGCACACAGACCACACACATCAGACCCCACCATACAGACCACACACACTAGACCCCACTAGACCTCAGCGAAGATGAGTATGAGGATCCAGCATGCAGACCACACTCAGACCAGACACAGACCACACACTAGACCCCACTACAGACCTCAGCAAAGATGAGTATGAGGACCCAGCCTAGACCCCACTACACAGACCACACACCAGACCCCACTATACAGACCACACACCAGACCCCACTACAGACCTCAGTGAAGATCAGTATCAAGATAACACCTAGACTCCACCATACTGACCACACACTAGACCCCACTACACAGACCACACACTAGACCCCACCATACAGACCCCACTACACAGACCACACACTAGACCCCACTACACAGACCACANACCCCAGCACACAGACCACACACCAGACCCCACTACAGACCACACAGACTAGACCCCAGCACACAGACCACACACCAGACCCCACTACAGACCACACAGACTAGACCCCAGCACACAGACCACACACCAGACCCCACTACAGACCTCAGCAAAGATGAGTATGAGGATCATGCCGACAAAGAGGCGCGGCTGCTGCGCTGTGCCGCGGACGCCAGCGTCGCCCACGATGCCGATGGCGAACCCTGCGGCCAACCCCGACAACCCCACCGACAACCCCGCGCCCAGGTGCACGAAACCCCTGTGGGGGAGAGGGGGTTAGGTGGTGTAAGCCCCGTGGGGGAGAGGGGAGGGGGTAAGGTGCTGTAACCCCTGTGGGGGTGAGAGGGGTTAGGGGGGAAGAAACCCCTGTAGAGAGACAGGGGTTTAGGTGCTGTAATCTTCTGTGGGGGGACTGAGGGGTTCATTGAAGGGAAAGGGGGTTAGGCACTAACCCCGTGAGGGCAAAGGGGGTTAGGGGGCATGAAACCCCCTGTGGGGGCAGAGGGGGTTAGGGGCTGTATCCCCCTGTGGGGGGATAGAGGGGTTAGGGTACTAACCAGCAATAGTAATTAATCTAAGCCTCTTCCTCTTATTACTATTTAATTACCTACATTTATGAACAACCCCTAACAACGGGGGTTTAGAAGTTGGGGTTAGAGGTTTAAAAGCAAAATTATCACAAATATTTCAGAGGAAATCTACCCTTCTCTTGAACAACAAAAGCTCCCATACATACATTAGTATTGGGATAATACAATTTGTATTATTTTGTATACAATTGCAAGAATATATCGAATAGTTGTGCATTTTAAAATATTTATGAAGAATGAATGTTAATATTGGCCAGGATGTAAGTAGTAAAAAGATCTCAAGTGTACATGATTTATATATGAAAAATATAGAGTTTTATTAATCTAAAATTAATTAATCTTGAAAATCAAGAAATTACAAATTAATTCTATCAATCAGATTAAGGAGCATTAAACTTATTGAAAACATTAAGAACACATTTTATATATCTCGGTTCTAGTGAAGTGCAACTAGTGAACAGCATAGAAAATACTAGTAAAATTATTTAAATAAAAATACTTAAAGAAAATTTAAATATAATTCCCAGCAGTTCAATGAGTGGAAAAGTCATAACATATTATAAATCGTTATAACATATAATAATGGTATTATAAAAGCTCAGAACTTACTCAAAGATCATGTCAATAAAAAATTGTTACCTAATCAGGTGAACTATTGAAAATGGATTTAAAAAGTTATGAATACTAATTCTATTTTAGAAACGGCTGAACTGATACTTGTGAATTTATAACAGACTTTTGCTGCTTTAGAGCAAAATAAAATTGTAGGTTTGAGAGAACTTTCAAGTTCAATTTAAAAAGTAATGAGTATGTACTAATTCTATTTTAGAAACAACTTAATAAATTTTTAGGTTTGGGAGGACTCTTGAGTTCAATTTTAAAAATTATAAATACTAATTCTATTCATAACTAGTAAAGATCATGTCAATAAAATACCATTTATCAGGTGTAACTATTGTACGTCAGGTGTAAGTATCAAACACTTACTGATAAAAATCATGTAAAAAAATATATATCATTACTGAGGTGTAACAATTGCCCACTTACTTGTAAAAATCGCAATAAAAAATCATTAATCAGGTGTAAGTATCAAACAAAAAATATATCATTAATCAGGTGTAACAATTGCACACTTACTTGTAAAAATCATGTAAAAAAATATATCATTAAACAGCAGCAACAATGGCAGACTTACTGGTAAAGATCGTAGCCCTTCTCGGCAGAATCAATTTTGCCGGCGAGCAGCACGGCCACCACCAGGCCGTAGATGGCAATGATACCGGCCATCACCACGGGGATGATGCACTTCATGATCAGCTCCGGCCGCATCACCGACATCGCTGCGATGCCAACGCCCGACTTGGCTGTGCCGTACGCAGCACCCAGCGCTGCAACAAATAGCTTTATTTACTTCACATGCTGCAAGCACCACTTATGTAGTCCACACAGGTGCTGCAACAAATTGCTTTATTTACATCACATGCTGCAAGCACCACCTCTGTAGTCCACACAGGCGCTGCAACAAATAGCTTTGTTTACTTCACATGCTGCAAGCACCACTTCTGTAGTCCACACAGGTGCTGCAACAAATTGCTTTATTTACATCACATGCTGCAAGCACCACCTCTGTAGTCCACACAGGTGCTGCAACAAATAGCTTTATTTACTCCACATGCTCAGGTAGCATACTGGTCATGGAAAACCTTGAGAGTCGTATCCAAGTCTGGAAAATTACAAGTCATAGACGAGTCTGGAAAATTACAAGTCATAGACGAGTCTGGAAAATTATGAGTCGTATACGAGTCTGAAAAATTATGAGTCATACAAGTCTGGAAAATAACGAGTCATATACGAGTCTGGAAAATTATGAGTCGTATACGAGTCTGGAAAATTACAAGTCATATATGAGTCTGGATAGTTATATTGATGGTCATGGAGAGTCGTGGAAAAGTCATGGAATTTTTTTTCTAAATACCAGTACGCACCCTGCATGCTGCAAGCACCACTTCTGTACTCCACAAGCCCAAAAGTTGAAATTTTTTATTCATTGTCATGAATGATGTATAATGTAAGTTGAATAATGCTTGGATAAATACTGCCTCTGTTGCCAAAATGCTAGAGGTTGTCAATTGTCAACTGACTAGAAATCCTTGCCATGAGCACAAATAAAATTATGAGTCGTATACGAGTCTGGAAAATTACGAGTCATACGAGTCTGGAAAATTATGAGTCATACGAGTCTGGAAAATTATGAGTCGTATACAAGTCTGAAAAATTACGAGTCGTATATGAGTCTGGATAGTTATATTGATGGTCATGGAGAGTCGTGGAAAAGTCATGGAATTTTTTTCTAAATGCCAGTATGCATCCTGCATGCTGCAAGCACCACTTCTGTACTCCACAAGCCCAAAAGTTTACATTTTTTATTTATTGTCATGAATGATGTATAATGTGAGTTGAATAATGCTTGGATAAATACTGCCTCTGTTGCCAACATGCTAGAGGTTGACAATTGTCAACTGACAATAAATCCTTCACAAAAGCACAAGATGGAAAATAAACTCTAAAAAATGTATGGTTCATGCTGTCCTATAAATGATACACACTTTATGCTGTCAGTTTCAAAATATTTTCCATATACGAAAGTATAATCTAGTTCTAGACCTCCAGATGAACATTGTTTCATCTATTAACCCTGTTAACTTTCACCCTTGAAATCAACAAGTATGGCTGGCAAGTTACCATACATGGTTACTTAAAAGCTACTCCCATATAAGACACATCAAAGGTCTACAATAAAAATTCTACATCATGCCTATGACCAATTATAAATATGACCATTCACTACATACATCCTACTATGACAACAATTTCAAATCTGAGCATTCAAAAGAAAGTTTCAAAAACAAAAACAATTAGCAAGCAAAAACAACATTCAAAATAATGACAACAAAAACAATATTTGCACATTTTAAAAACAAAAGTTTCAAATCAATATCAGAGGCTGTTCAATTATTACCATTACCATTTCTTTTCTATTCCCTGAATATAAGGATCCATTAGCATGGGTTACGTGTCAAGGTGGGATTACGAGAATGGAAGTTCATGAATTTAATATTGATATATTTTGGTCACAGGTTTGATCCAATAATATAGGCTGAGTTTTATATATCACTCAATAGTTTACGTATAATTTAAGTTGAAAGTTACTTTAAAATGTTCCCTGTTGCGTACAAACGTCCTCAGGTTGCTACACTCAATAGTTTATGTATAATTTAAGTTGAAAGTTATGTTCCCGGAGAGTGACATATGCAGGGTGCATACTGGTCATGGAAAACCTGGAAAGTCGTCCATGATTCACTTGCATATGACTCGTAATTTTCCAGACTTGTATATGACTTTCCAGGTTTTCCATGACTGGTACGCACCCTTAAATATGATAATTTTCTTGAGGAGGAAGTGTGCAGTGGAAGAATATCCAAATATGGTTAAAAAATGGTGAAGCCTAGTAACTTCAAAATTTAGGTATTCAAGATATATACAAAATCACATGGCTTAATAAGGAGGTTGTAATAATAATTTATTCCATTATCATACTTTTTCCCATCTTTATTCCATTACTATAATAAATATATAATGTAATTATAATATTATTTTAGAAAATAATTTATAAAAGAATTTAGCCCATGATGCTCACTCTCTCCAGACTGTGATGGGTTGAGTCCAACATGCTATGTGTACCAATTAATTTAATACCCCTCTGGAATTCCCCACTGCCAGCCACAACTAGAACTAAGAACTTTCTAGCAATTTTTCTATCAGATTTGCAAGAATTTTACTGATGAATTATCTAATCTATCTCTAATCTAATAGTAAACTGAGATGCATAGCCAGGCCAGAAGATCCTAAAAATTATAAAAAAAATATCAGGTACAAGACAAAATTTATGAGGCAAGATTTTTTGAACTCATCAGCCAAAAAGTAGAGAAGTACAGCAGCTCCAAATTGATAAGTTTTTAATACATTTGGAATCTTGCAGCCCAATTGTATACTTTTTTTCAACCATTATATAAGAGGTTATTTATCTAGCGGGAATCTCAAAGTTCCAAAAATGCTGGAAAAAAACAATATAAGAATAACTATCATAATAATTAAATAGAACACAAATAATCATTCAGGGCCTAAGAGGTCCCATATCTAATATGGATATAAATTCTACAGTGCAATAAATAGGATATAGCAATAATAAACCAAATAAATTTCCTCTTGAATTTATCTTTTTCTCTTTTTTTTATTTACCCTTGACATGAACTTTCTCACCTCTCTAGCCTCTCCTTTAATATTGCTTCTAGTACCTGGCATGGTCTCCTTTTACAATTCTAATAGCAAAACAAACATGTGATGCATGGCTGATGGCTGTTGTAAAATCCTGATGCTGGAATGTTCTCTTCCAGTCACCACGCCCCAAATCTAAATTCTAATTACAGCTTGAAAGGCAGATGTCTATTATCTTCCATGCCAATGTAAGGTCAAGACTCAAGATGGCTGATGATCCTTAAAAGATGCCAATATCTCAAGCTAAAAGGCCCCACTCTACAGCCTGGTCTACTCGGTCCGCCCGCCGGGTCCGCGTGGACCAGGCTGTGGGTCCGCGTGACGCAGACCCACAGTGGTAAAACAAGGTGTATTTTAGACTCTTTCTCAAGTTCAATTTTGAGTCCTCTAAGTAGACCAGCAATGTATCACTGTATCATGGATACCACTACCAGTCTCAGAATCATCACACATAAGATATTGGTTTAAATCTTGAGTAGATAAGGAAATTAGAAATGAACTGATTCTGAAAAATCTCTGGTTTGTCACTATACGCAGACCCACGCCACACATCAACATCTAAACCTGTTTTCAGAAGATCTTGTGAAGAAGAATAATGCATTGCTAACCCATTCTTCTTTATATACTGATTTCACAAGCATCATGCATCATTGCATGACTTGTGACTGGAAATGTTAGGTCCTGATGAGTGATGAGTAATACTAAAATTAAAGAATCTCACTTTATGTATGTCTTTATTGTATGAATCTTCCTTGCAATTCATCTTCCTTTCAAGCTGCAAGAATAGAAGAGTTTTCCTGGCATTTTCAGAACTGCAGGTGCAGGATTCCTGGCTGATAAATTACTTATTTCTCATCCTTTTCTGATTAAAACTTTACAATCAAGCTGCATGATTCCAAATATGTGGAAAATTGGTCAGTTTAGAGCAACAAGATTTCATTTATATATATATATGAAAATCATAAAATGTTCAACTAGTGCAGTATTTGGCAATTGCGTTGCCTAGATTAGGTACGTTTATTAGGCCAAAGCTTTCACCAGCATTTGATTAGACTAATAACTAATTAATGAGGATTTGTCACCAAAATGATCTAAACCTTCAAGATTCCTGGCCAAAAATACTTTTAAAGAAATATTCAAAGAGAAACAAGTGGTCAAGATTTCCTGAAGACATAGATTAAAATTTTAGATGCTGATTAGGTACAGTGCACCCTGGCTAGCAGCTGGAGACGGGGCATTACAGTAGTGTCGGCAACTCTCTCTATCGTAAATTTGAACGTAAAGAACTAATTGACTTGCTATAAAAAAACTGACAAGAAAGTCATATGATTTGATACTTTTTGTTCAATTTCTGTTAGGAATTATTATTTTAAACTTTCATCCAATAGGCTGAAGTGGGTGAGGTCAAAATGTGATCGATGACTTCAAATTCGATTGTACAGTAAATATTGGTTGTGTATCAACTTACCGCTGAAAACCATTGCAGATGCAACTCCCATAACTCCGAAGAAGGGAGAGTACATAGGGGGTTCTTGTGTCACTGAGTCGCCCATTTTTGTTAAGTTAATATTCTTTACTATTTCTAGGAGGAGGATAGGACACACGAAGCACTGCCACACGACTAGAACAACTGTCTCTACCGCGCAGGCCTCGATAATGTCAGGAGAACTCGTGACTATTGACTGTTTCCATAGAGCGCCTCCCATTGGTCGACAAGAAAATTTTAGCCGCCTTAGAACCAATAGAAAAGGTTTTAAGATGGGCCTTCGTTATTTTGTCCAATCATGAGTTTGCTCATTAAGCGTTTAGGAATCTCTTGGAATTTTGTTTTAGAGCTTCTAATTCGTCCAATCTCCAGATTATATCCAATCGTTGCTCGTCGTACATGAGCTTTAGGAATTGAATCATATGATCACTCTGTGTCAATGAAGTTGCTATTATTCGTACTATTGTGTAATATAGAGAAAATGTCATGTAATAGTTACTGCCAAATTAGTATCATAAATAGAATAAAAATAAAAATTTGGATGATATAATTTAATTATTATATTTAGAAATTGATTCATGTTAAATTGAAAAACTGCTTGATCATATATATAAAAAGTAAAAAATTTGAAGATAAAAATCGCAAACTGCATATTGATAGAAACAATAAATGTTATTATGAACATTAAAAATATTTATGAATGAAATAGTGATGTTGCGTTGCTAGGTAACCACGGTGTTGTTTGAGTGGTTGGTCTGAGGTTGTATGTGAAGCGACATATAGCATGGCGCGTGAACATAGTATTCTGCTTCGTCACATGTAACGTGTTCAATTACGTTGCATATTTGCTATCATTTAAATCATAAACAAATAACATCGAAGCTGATTTTGCGAATAATGTTCGCTTCTCGATACCAACTCATTTCGTGTTCAAACTAATAAATTATTTGGATCTTTAGTGTATTCTCTAATGCATTCAACATTTATCAAAAGTTAAATAAATAAAAATTCAATGCTGATAGTGTGAATGTTCGATCAAAAATATAATTGAAATTAACGTCCGTCTGTTATCTAAAATGTTAAATCTTCGGAAATTTGAAACACTGATCACGTTTTCTTGACATTTTTCATGCTGAAAGATAACCTAGTGACACGTGATCTCAACCCAAGGCTCATTACCCAACCATTACTCAACTTTAACTAATATTTATAGGTTAATTTAACCATTAATCTACAATGGTTGCCTCCAAATATTGGTTTTTGTGAAGACTGGAACATAAAACCGGAACAACCCATGTGATTTCTCCCAGGAAATGCTGGTGCTTATATCATGAAGACAATACGTTCTGTAAAATTCTTTTTCAATTATTAGTTTGTGAAGAATTTTACCTTCCGTCCCCCAATCAGAGACGAGAATTCGGCCGCTACGTGTGCTTAGGCCGCTACGTGTACTTAGTAGGCCGCTACGTGCACTTAGGCCGCTACGAGTACTTAGGCCGCTACGTGTACTTAGGCCGCTACGTGTACTAAGGCCGCTACGTGCACTTAGACCGCTACGTGTACTTAGGCCCCCATGGGGTGTCAGTTCGGCGTCGTGGACGCTCTAGTGAGTCGTCTGAAGCTCGCCCCTCCCTCGCCCCCCCACCTGCACGGCCACCGCCCCCTCTGCCCCCTCGTCAGGGTATACGTGAGTACACGTACGGTATATGTACCACTAGTGTATAGTATTATGCCATTAGTATAATACTATACTAATGGTATACTATATACTAATACTATTATATATATACTAATAAATACTAACATACTAAAATATATATACTAATACTAAACTAATACTACCCTAACAAAATTTAGAGTCTCCCCAGCTTCTGGTAATCCAAATCAGAAGCTGCCGCGTCTGTTGGAGAGCAGATGTAACTAATGACGTGTTATAAGTGATCCCCATCAACCGTGCCTATATCTATCCTAATTAACTCTACCTATATATCTATCCTAATTAACCGGACCTATATATATCTATATTAATTAACCGCAACTACTTAACCGTCCTAATTAACCGTACAGTTAATTATCGCTAATTTCAGGGTCAATTCTCTGAGGTACTCAAATCTCCGAGCTTTGACCTGTTTAATTTAATTAATCTTAATATAATATTGAAATATAATAATAATTTCATTTTAATATAATTAAAGATTAATCATTTTTCCTCGTATTTGTATTAGCAAAGATTGGTAACAGAATGCGAATAACAAGATAAATATTTACCATATCTTTCCTTCCCCACAGGTTGAGGGCTGTCCTGCCATCCACCTCCCCTTCCTCTCCCCCAAGGAGGTGGGGGAATACGACACTAAAGTCGCCATGGGGATCACGCATCCCCCCATTACAGTGGACGAGAGCTACCTGGCGGGGGGGAACTTCGTGTTCAACAGAGGCAAGAGCTACGTTTTCGTTCCCCAAGATGACGTCATGAGGAAATATGATGACGTAAGCAAGGCCTTTGATGACGTCAACAGAGCCTTTGATGACGTCATTAGTGACGTAGTCGAAAGTGATGTAGAAGCGATACGTAAATTGGTTGTTGAAACTTCGTTTGGTCCATTGCAGATAACACCTGAACTTGTCAAAAACAAACAAAAGAACTATAAGATTGAAGACCACGTTGAAAATGTTGATATGGTTGAAAACCGAATGTTACTGGGACACAGAGATGCATTGATCAAGCAGTACATGTCACTTAAGAGGCCGGAACTTGTGGAAGAGTTGGGCAGTTCATTCGATTCTGGGCAACTGTTTGACCAAGTCAAAGAAGCTCTTAATTCCATTGATGAAACTATAGCTGTACCTAAGTTGAAAAAAATGAGAATCCGGATCGAAATTTTAGATTTTTTCATGACCCCCGCTGCGGTAGTGGCGACCTATGTTGAAGAATGTTTACCTATCACTCCATCGGACCGAGGCACTTTCGCAGGTTCGATGAAACCTTTGATAAAAGATGACATTAAACTTGTAGGGCCAAACGGAAAATTTTTTGGCACTCTTGGCATTGCTGTCACGGCACATTTGTTCGGGGATAAAACATCAAAATTGAGACACTCCAAACCTTCATCGCAGACATCGGACCAGAATCCGGAGCCTAAGAAATCTTGTGAACTATCTAGTGAGCTAGTGTTTCAGAACAGATATATTTCGCTGAAGAATAGAATAGCAAGAATGATTGCAGTGTCTAACTCTGTCTGGGGCAACAATATCTTGTTCGAAAACCCGTACATGGTGAAGTTGAACTCGGATGTGCAAAGAAATTGTCTCGGCGATCATGAGTATAAAAAGATCCTCATCGGTAAGCTAACTTGTTATTTGGAACCAAACTACAAATTTGACGAGAAGGAAGTCAACTCAGGAACAGAATCAAACATTTCACCATCGTGTACAATTTGTAAACTTCCGCCACCTAAATTCAGGAGATCAAATACTTCTTGTTCCCATTCTGACAGCCGCCAACGGGACCCTTTGCCACGTAAGGTGAAAGATCAGGGAAAGGACTCGGTTGCTGGTGGGAGATCGTTGGATGGAGATGTAGAAAACTATGTAGCGAAAACCCGTTTGTTCCTCCACCTCAAGCCGCACGATGTGTTGAAGGAGAGGGTGAACAAGAGGGTTGTTGACGTCAGATCCTCCAGTGCGTTGAAACCTCGTGGATGGCTGAGATCAACTCCGTTCTTCAAGAGGAATGGTAACGAAAGGAAACTAGGACCACCGGTAGTGAAATACAACAGAGCTTCCTTCCTGAGAAGAGTTTCAAGTGACCCGGAATTAGATAAGCAAATGCAGAAAGAGATAAACAAGAAACTCAAAGAACGTTTGAAAGAGGAACCTGTAAAGGAAGTTAAGCGTATCATCCTGCGACAACCAAGCAGTAGAGTCAAGCAGACCAGAAGTGTTGGATATCAAGTCAATCCGAGGATGCAAATCAATCATTTTTCACAGCAGACAGAATTTTTGGAGCGCATCAATGAAGAGACGATGGTTGGGGATAGCCTGCAGACCACTACGAACTCTACTAAACAAAATGACTCCTTAATTAAAAGCAGCGGATCTGAACGCCGGAGCATAGGAACCAAAGGCTCTGATTCTGGTAGCACAAAGGAAAACGCGACGAAGGATGAAACGTTCATTGAAAGAGAATCGGAATCAGAATCAGAGGGGTTTGTCCAAGGGTCTCCTCAGACATCAGCATCTGTGGCTGTTGAATGCAGGACTCCGGTGATCAACATGTCTAATAGATTCATCGACTTGGGCCAGACATACACAATTTCGTCGGAAGATCTTGCACAGAACATCCATAACGCCTCAGAGCTTCAACGAAGTAACACCATCGAGTCGGGGATGTCACGAGTCTTCGCCAAACAAGATCGGTTGCTCGCTGGGTCCGTTGGCTCGTTCAACAGCTTTGAATCCCGTGACAGAATTGGGTCTTTCAGCCAAATTGAAGAGCAAACTGAGGATGGGGAAAGTAGCAGTTCAATAGAATACGTGGCTGAGTTTGATGACGCTTCTGTGAGTACACAATCCGTCGAAGAAGATATAGTCGATGATGTTATGGACTCTGAGGATGGAGGAATGGGTCAAATTTCCATGAAGAAGCGAGAAGGTGACCAAGCCCAGAACAATGCAACAGTAAGCAATGGTAACAACTTTCCTATAGATATTCTGCAACATTCTGGCACATTCAGCGCTGGTGAGTTACTGTTTCGCTCCCAAGACATGATGGCTAAGGCATCAGGGACATATAGTTTAGGTCAGATAATTCAGGACATTGCGGGTGTTGACTACAGTAGAGACTCCTGCCACTCACTGTCTTCCAGCGGAGAGGGTACCAGCGAAGATTGCAGTTTGGGTTCAGGGGAATCGGAACGAAACAAAACCGTAAAGACGAGAGGGAAATCAGCAACCGGAAGAGATGTGGGCATCAGCAAGCTTGAGAGGTCGCGGACTTTTGACACGGACCATCATGCAGGAGAAAACGTTACAATTTCTTCCATAGCTCCAAGACAAATTCCTGCTACGGCTGTACCACAAACTAGAAAATATTACAAAGAAACGAATGTCAAAAAATTAGAGAATCTGAATAGAAAATACGGGACGCTGGAAAAAAAGTTAGGTGTAAAACCACCGGAC